CATAAAAAAAAGAAAAGAAACACTTAATAGTTGACGTTTAAATTAAAATTTCTTCTTTTAATAAAATAAAAAGGAAAAAAAAAGTTCTTTTATAATTTAAATTAATAAAAATAAAAAAAAAATTTTGCACTGACATTAAAATTAAAATTATTTAAGTAAAATATTGATCATAAATTTTCATTTTTTACAATTTAATTATTGGCAAACCAAATAGTGGATGCTAAATAAGTACATGAGTTATGTAAATATAAAGCTTCTAATTTTAAAAATATTGAATTCAATTCAATTATGATTAATAAATTTTGATGATTTATTAAAAAAATTTTTAAATATAGTACAAATTTTTGTAGATAGATGCAAAGCACATACACAAAATTTTCGTAAACACAAAAATGAAAAATTTTTAAAAATTAATCCCCAATTATGAAAACAAAACTAACTCGTTCGAGTAAGAAAGTGAAACTGTTTACTGTAATGTTATCTCAAAAAATGTGAAGTGAATAAAAGAGAATTTTAAAATTGCTTTTCTTTATTAGTAAATAGTGTTACCATGAAGTAGGAATTCCAAGTGTGTAAAAAGAAAAGCAAAAATTTTTTTTTTAATATTTTGTTTTTTACTTTACCAAAAATAAATAAATGTATGTACTCGTATGTTCGGAACGGTATATTTGTCAGAGGTATAAAACAAGAAACTTGGAAAATTTTTATCTTCTTAAGGTTAAGAAGTAAAACATCAAAATGATTTAAGCATAAATTTTTTCAAAAATATCATTTTGTTAAAATTACAGAAGATAAAAAAAAATACTAAAACCATTTTTATTAATTTTTGTCAAGGAAAAAACTATTTATAACAGATATTAAGTAAAAATTACGGCACTAAGGACTTACATCACATTAAATAAGACATCAAACGATACACACAGCCCACCATGGTCTATAATTTTGGCAATGTCATGAGAATTGAGATAATGCTCATAAGTTATAACTTATAAGCCATAATAAATTTGATATATATAATTTCACTCAATCTCATCTGTTATTTTGTATAAAATTATATACAGCAACAATAGCATACATACATATTTAATAATTTATATCCATGATTCCATGTGTATATAAAAATGTATATAATTAAGATTTACAATTTCGAATGTAAAAATGTATGTACATTTACCATACAAACCATTATATTATTCAAGTTTCAAAAACCCATCGGATTTCAAATTTCTGATTGATAAACAGACATAATTGCTCATAATAATAGAGTTGAGTACAATTTGTATTGAACAAAAGGAAGTAATTCAATTACATTAATTTTTAGTTTTGTTATTTCAGCTTACTAAAACTTATTTTGAACTTAAAAATTTGAATTCAATGAGTTCAATATGAGCTCAATATGAACTCAAATTTTCAAAAGTGAGAAAATTGAGTGAAACTTTGAGTATGTAAGAATGCGATGGATTATGATTTATGATCAGGGCTAACACTGCACTTTGAAATCTGCGTACTGTAATTTGTAAGAGGTACTTTATAAATTAAAGTTTTCTTAAAAAAAATAAAGAACAAGAATTCATAAAAATAAAGAATAAGAATTTCGCCTAGAATTTATACAATCTTACCGTTTTTTATTTAATAATTCTATGAGTTGACGTTGACAATTAAAATTTTAGATATTTTGTAATTATTTTGTAGTTTCATAATAAATAAAATTAAAAATTTTGCAAAAATAATTTTTTGTTTAAATTTTATTAAAATGTACTAAATAAAAATAGTACGTACTAAATTTTGTATTAACGAAAATGTAGTATAATTGGTATAATGGTATCGTAGAATTATTGAGTACTTTTGCATTTTCATTGGTAACTATGAAAATTTTTAATTTTTTGCAGTTTTTCTCTCCTGCTCATTTGTCTTACAATACAAATTACAAATTCAATACAAATTACAGCTTAAACTTTTAACTTATCTTTTAAATTTTACTGAGAATCTTTTAAATTTTACTGAGATCAATATGGATTCGGCGCATTTCATTTGTTATTGTTTTATGTTTCTCTGTTTATGATTTTTTTAAGCTTTGCATAAGTTTATATTTTATTCATATGCACATGCACAACACATGCTTACCTAAATATATAAAATTTTAAAGAGTACAACTTTTCTCTATACTGTTAACTGTTATTTTGTTTTGACTTTGTTTTTTAAAGTAACAAACAAAACAATCAGCGTTCCCACTTGGATACAATTGTATCCATTTGGATACAGTTTTTGCTTTAAATTTAGCTTGGATACAAAGATACTCAAATCTGCTAAAATGCCGAAATTGGCTACATTTCAAAATTTTGCTGAAATATGGATACATTTATTCCCTAAACACTAAATAAATGTTACAAAACTGTTAAAATGCTGCTAATATTAAAACGCGTAATTGCTTTATCTTTCAAAAGTGTTATTTGCTGGCATTTCTAAGCAGATTTCCGAGTTTACTAGAAGAAAGTAAGAAATCTGCTTTATTAAATGAGTGCTGTCTCTTCCTGTATCCAAATCTAGAACATTTAGACAAGAACGTACCAGAAATATTTTGGAGTAAGCTAGTTGTAATAGAAAATGCATTGGCTGTACATATTTTTTAACATTTTTCCGTTTTAATGGTAAATTGTCTTTAGCACATAGTTCAACAACATATATGCATATGTTTTTTCTGACCTTAACTTTTTACACATTTAAAATATAATAGAAGTTGTATGTGATTTCTTAAAGAATTTACTATAAATAAAAAAACCAACAACACGACGGCTTGGTATAAAAATTCTGCTTTATGAGGTTGGATACATTTTGGATACATTTTTTCCTCGAAATTGGATACATTTTGCTTTAACCAAGTGGGAACACTGAAAACAATGAAAATAGTGTGCAAAAATTTGCATTAAATACTCTCATATGTATGTATGCAGATACTTATATACATTATTTACATTATTAGTATATGTATATTTTTTATGTTTATTTACATTATGCAAGTATATTTGCGCGTGTTATATAAAAAGAATCCACATATATAAAAAATGTTTACTTTTAAAGAGAAATTTTTCTTTCTTTTCTTTGTTAGACTATGTGGCGCCACTTGTTTGTTTGTTGCTTTAATACCGAGACTCACTGAATACTTATGGGAAAAGGATTTTGCAAATATACATATATCTAAACTGAGAGAATGCAATTTAGTTTAGAGTTCAGATGCACATGGGTTTGTGTGAATTATGTACATAAGAAAATAAATAAATAAAATATGGATATGTATGTATAGTTTTTAAGTGCATTTGTTTTTTTTTTTCTCATTTCAAGGTCATATAAAAAAGTTTTAATAAAATTTTTTTTAGATATGCATCTTTGTCCTGATGCCAATATTCTTAATCCTGGGAATTTCATTATTATGAATCATGATTATAAGAGTATAGAATATTTCCTTTGTTTGATAAACAAAGAAAATTTCATTTAAGTTCTGAAGTCCTTTTAAAGTTCATCAAAATTTTATTTACATACGTACATATATAAGTAAGAGTTATGTATGCATGTATGTACACATGTTTATCGAATTAAGAGTACAACATTTGTATCAATGAACTCAATTTATGTTTTTTAAGAAAAAATATCTGTTATATAAACATATATGTATACCTACACTCATAATACTCAATATGTGTATATTTTGAATGCTTAAATGCATGTACACATGTGCATAAGATGTGTATATTATATTAACATTTAAAAGATTTACAAAAATATTTTTTTATTTTTATATTGCCATTTCTTTGTTGTCTAGACAAATTACAGTAAAATTGATTTCAAACATTAAAATTTTAATATAATTCTAATTGAGAAATAATAATTTTTTGATAGGTATACCTACTTACATATATATTATATTAACATAGTCATATTTCACATTTTTTAATTTAGCCTTATCCTTTAATTTTTCAATTAAAATATTGAAACTACAAGGTCTTATACGAATTTTAAGGAAACATACTAAATTAATTGCCATCACGCGATGTATAAAAACTAACCACAATATTCGTTGTTTATAATTGTAAGAAATGTTTTCTGTTTAAAGATATACGAAATTTATAAGAATTATTTATTTATAATATTATAGAAATACACATTAATAAAAAAATGTTTTGAATTGGATTCTTAATAAATGTAAGTATCTTAATAGAGTATATGTATATAAGTAACACGACAAATGTTACATAACAATTTGAAGTTAAAATTGTAATTATTAAACTAAAAAACAAAATAATATTAACTTATTGTCCCTAAAATAATTCAAATAGAAAATTAAGTTCAAATAAAGTCGATACTCCAAAAATTCAAGGATAAACCCTTTATATACATATATACATATAGAAAAATAAAAAATAAACTTTGTCATTATTTGTTAATTTTAATTTTCTATTGTCACGAATTTATTTAATGAATTTAGAGAAAGTTCAAGGAATTAAAATAAAGTTCTTTACTCATATCAAACCTACAATATGAGGCGAAAACATTAATTTTCAAAAAATACAATCGCTTTTTTTGTTTTTGTTGTATTAGTTTTCAATGTTAACTAAAATAACCAAAAAAAATTTAAAGTTTATTAAATAATTAATACGCGTGGTACAATTTCGTCAGATATATGAAGATTACAGCACAAATATTCATATAATATTTTTCTACATTAAATACTGTATGTCATTTCTATCCATGTTTATCCGTTTATGAAGATGAAAGTCTGCTTTAACTACATTTCGTAGACTTTTGTCAATTTAAAAAAAGTTCAAACAGTTCAATTAAGAGTGGACGGAGACTTGAATTAAAAAGAAATTAAACATATTATTGTACAAACCTATATGTATTTAATAATTGTTTAAGATGGTTTAGTATTGAGTTAATTTTTCTAAAATGAGAAACTTAAATGAAATAAAGAAAATTTAAAAACATTCATAAAACCACATATAATATGATATGCTATCGTATTTCCGATTATTGTCACATCAATTGATCAATTATCAGTACGCCTTCACGACATCATATTATATTAACCATTTTATATGCGTACAATATTTAATTTTAAATTATTTTACTTTGAATTACAAGTGCAAAATATTTTTTAGGTTCATACTTAATCTATTTGCAATCTTCAACACTCTTATTGCACACATTGCCATTTTAAGTTTAACTAAAAAAAATAAATGCATTTTCTAAAATATAAAAAAAAACATAATTTCCCACAACAGCAAAAAAGTTACTTTTCCCTTTTATTTGAAAAATAAAGCTTACTTCTCTAATCTAATACAATACTAACAAAGTTGTACATTATTGAAAGGTAACAAATAAAAACCTCAAAACCGAAATTTATAATTTTTGCATGTTTTTTGGATAATTTAAAAATATATATTTATTTGGCTATCAAATCTAGTAAAAGTGGGGTAAAATATGATATAATGCAATCAGCACCTGCTCTTCTAAAAGATATGATTGTCTCCATGAGAACGTCATTTAATTTGAGAGTTCCACTTTTAGAACCATGATATATCATTGCATATTCACCCGAAACCTAAAGAAATTTAATATGTAAATTTATGGCAATGAATATTAAAACTAATCATAATTATATTAATCACCTGATAAACATATAATGGAATATTAGGATACATGTCTTTTGTTTGTCTAACGATATCAAGATAAGGCAAACCTGGTTTTACCATTAACATATCAGCCCCTTCATCTACGTCCCTCTCCTTATTAAACAATATAAAGTTTATTATAATAATAATGTAAGTACTTTAAATTATTAAGGACTCATATATATAATACTCACAACAGCTCTCGCCGCTAAACCTTTTGAACCGGAAGGTAACTGATAACATCTACGATCTCCGAAAGCAGGAGCAGATTTTGCTGCATCACGAAATGGTCCATAAAATGTTGAAGCAAATTTTGCTGCATATGAAAGAAGTGCTACCTTTTTTTCGAAACCATGTGAAATTAATGCATCTTTAATTGCTTTAATACGATTATCCATCATATCAGACGGCGCAATAATATGAGCACCAGCTTTAGCATAATTTACTGCAATTTCAGCTAATCTATTTATACTAGCCTCATTATCTAATCCTATCTCTTTGTTAAATATTCCACAATGACCATGGCTGGTGTATGGGCATAAACATAAATCACATGCTATAAGAAGTGATGGAAACCACTCAAGTAATTTTGGTAAGCCTCTAATTACAGGATTAAGGGGATGATCTGCTGCTGTTCCATTTTCATCCTAAAAAAATATACCTTTATTCTTCTTTTAAAGTCTTCAATGTAATTTACTTTATTTAAAAAAAATTACCTTTGGAATACTTTCAGTCACTCCAAAAAGTAAAATTGAACTCAATCCTTTTGGAATTAAAGATTCTAAATGTTCTTTTAACTTATTAATACCCATTCTTTGTATTCCCGGCATACTTTGAATATCCTGTGCGTCATCATCATTTTCTCTTAAAACAATATTGAAAAATTTAGTACATAATTGAATTTTAAATTTAATTAATTATTATTAGATGATTCGCAGAACATAATTTACTAAACTTAATTTACCATTTCCTGAATTGAAAGATTTTTAAATATAATTAATGCATTTAGAAAATAAAAAGTATGTATGTGTAGGTATTTTATGACATTAAAAGAAAATTTAGATAAAAACCTTAGTTACAAAATCCGATACACAATTCGATCCTTCTTAGCGAATAATCCGATGAGATACAATTATACTACAAGCGGGCGTATAATAAAAGAAGTATAAATTGATAACGATTAAGACCCAAAAAAAATGTTCAACCAAGTAAAGCTTTACTATAGTGTACTCTTCCGGCCGTATAAATTATCAATAAAATTTTAAACTATTAACTCTTTCATTATTCAAAACACATGATTTAATAATTATTCGGCAAAAGTATATACATACAGGGTATGTCGTATGGAAAGGCACTGCCACATACAATTATATAGGACTTCATGAATATACAAAATTTTAGTCTCAAAAGAGAGACACCTTTTCTAACGCTTGCTGTACATACTTTAAGTTATTGAAGAAAACAAATTGGTTCAATATAACATTTGCAGTATGTACTTAATTTTTCCTAAGCCAGAACAGATAGGAAGATGAGTCATATACTAAATTAAAGCTCAGTTGACAAAGTTGTAAGCTGTGCTAAAATTAGAGAAAGCTGCAAAGTTAAAATTTAAAATTTTTCGAATTTTAAATTTATGTGATTCCAAAATCTTAACAAATTATAACTAATGTAGATAATCATGAGAAAACCTTATTTTGAGTTTTCCAAGTTATATTTATCAATGCACCTGCCTGAAAATATCCTTGAAAAAAGCCTCTGTAACTCGAAACTTGTTGAGCTGTGAACATCGTCACCATACAAAAGTTTTGCTTACTCATGAGGGCTTATACAATTGTATATAGCAATGCACTCAAATACGAGACAGCCTGTATTTATATATATATTATATATATATGTATTTAAATACTCCATTAATGAGTTATCTAAATTATAAAGCAAGTAGCAAATATTTTTTGATTAATTTTAATATAGCAATAATTTTTCATATTTTTATAAAACGGAAAAAGGAAAAAAAGTAATATACATATATGTATGTATGTAGCAATACTGATAAACAAAAAATTATAAAAACAAAAGACTTAAACGATTTTAAATTGAATTAAAGTGAAAATTAAACAATTACTTAAATTCGAATTGAAAACAAGTTCCTGCAACCGTCTTATTAATATGTATTTATGTATATATGTATGTATAGTTATACCTATTTTCTAAGTGTCTGCAATGACACTATACTGTAGATGATTTTTTATTAAATACACAAAATATTTTATCTATAGAGGTAGTCAAGAATTGATAACCGTTTAATTATGAAAATATTTAAAATTTCTATTTTTTAATTACTTAATTATCTGTTCTAAAAATAAAATAATATTTGAAATGCGTATAAAATTTAATTATTTGCGTGTGTATGAAATCTATATTATTTCTATTAAAAATGGAAATAGAAAATTTTATATGCACATTTTGATTTGCAATTTATATTGTATTAGCAAAAGTAAAAACACAGTTGTACCTACCTTCCTATAAAAACCTAATGTCTTATAACATTCAATACAATTTCTTATTATATATACACTTAACTACAAACATTATGTAGTTTGAAATTTTTCAGTTATGCAAATAATGTGTATTTAAGAAAAATGTTAAATAAAATCCCGACATAATATATACATATAAAACTTTTAAAATTTTATTATCTGTCTTGAACAGACTGTAGATCGAGTATTGGATGGATGTATTTATGTAATTATTTATGCAATAGGTTAACAAACCTTAAAGATAATTACAAATAAATTTACCAGATGTCATTACTTTCAGTTTACGTAATAAATTTTAGATTTTTATATTATGTGCATAAATACAAACTTATATAACATATTTGGGTTTATTGGCAATCAACTAATTTTTTCTATAAGGAACAATACCGTTGAACTTCAATTGTCATATTATGATAATTATATGACAAACACTATTTTTTTATCATTATCAAACTCCATTAAAAAAATTAAATGTGATTATAAAATGTGTATATGTTTCCTTTCATAAAGAATATTAATTATAAAATGTAATCTATAGATAAAATGTAAATAATTTAGGTAAATTAGCTTACCTACCGGAAAACTAAACATATGTATGTTTATCATACAAGGATACATATGTATGTTTATCAAAGGTTATGTTTATCTAAGAATACTTACATTAAAAATATAGGATACATCAAATTATATGAATGTAGCTGAACATTCTGCTCCTGTAATTTCCTAAGAGTAGGATGAAATATTCCACTATGTAATTTTCTAGGCATATTTTATCTTAAAATTGCACCTTTTCCTTAAAAAGTAATATACTAAGTATGTATATATTAAGTACACTTTTCTTGTTAAACTGAAGGATTAAATGAATTTTATAACTTAATCAAATTAAAATAAAACGAGGAACTGTTCCAGTTATCTAAGCAAAACTTTAATATTTAAAAAGAAACTATTGTGATGTCATGGTAAGTTGGTTACAAGTAAAAAAAAATTAAAGAATCAGCAACCAACTATACTTAATTGACTAACTTAAAATTATCATCACGCTTTTTTATTCTAATGAAAGTTTAATTACAATATTCTTTAAAGCTACAATACCACATTTATATTTTTGAGATTTTGTTGCTTCTGATGATATGACAACGATATGGTCTAAAAATTTAAAAGATCTACTTGATAGTAATTAGATTTGAAAATATGACGTCTTTGAGAAGAAATATGTTTGGAGAAAAAAGAATTTTGCGACTTTATATACAGTAAAATGTTGAGTATCCGAGTGGCATAATTAGCAGGATTTACACAATAGTTCTTTTGTAAAAGAACTATCAAAGCAAAGAAAACATCTGTTTTATAAAACAAAAACAGATGTTTTCTTTGCAAAATTAAAAACTTAATAAAATTATAAATTATGAATTAATCAAAGAACGGTTGAATAAATATTTCTTTTAATTATTGAAAGAATAAGAAAACTATTTGATTTTACATAGCAAATAACAATTTAGAACTATATACCTTTTCCTTTTTCAATAGATTTTTTCCTTTTTTTCACTTGTTATATTTTTTTTATAAGTCTTTATCAAAAAGTATTCTTTTTTAAACAATTTTTATTAAGTATTTTATAATTTTTTATTTACAAATTGCGGTAATTTTATAATCAAAATAAAAAAATCTTCTTTGTTTACTTTTTATATAACGGCGCGTAATTTTTTAAGAAAAAAAAAACAACAAAATTTGGCATTTAATTTTGATTTCAGTTTGACAATGCTCGGAGCAAAGAAAAGGATTAAATTGTTTTAAAGTTTTTGGCTTCATTATGTTTTTTTTTTTCAAGATACGATTTTTTAATGAGATAGAAACAAAGATGTTCCTTCCTTTAGTATTTCCAATTCGTTGGTTTTTTCATGCAAAGCAAGGCGAACGAAAAGGAGAGAAAATGATATAGATTCTCATTTTTAAAATGTTTAAAGTTTTTTCAAGCTTTATCCCAGACAGACTATTTAAATTTTTATCCCAGACAGAAATTTTAAATTTTTAAGTAAACATGCATTTCATTTTAAATTGAATTTGACAAATGAAATTAATTTTTTGTGGCTATTTTGCTATTATTTTTACCAACAGCAGTTGCATCAGTAAATGTTCCCTAGTGACGTTGGTTGTCTACTTTTGAAATACTAACGACAACACTGTTTGCTAGTCTATATTTTATACGTCTTTTGCTGATATCCTTTCCTCTTGCCCTTTATTTTGACAAAATATATACAAAAAGATGTACAAAATATACAAAATTCGTGGTAATTCTTTGAGATACTAGAAGTAAAATTAAGAAATGGTTAGTTCCGGTAATTCTCATGGTTCTGATTCTTCCCAACTTTTCTTAGATGAAGATGAATTTACGTTGCATGCTGCAAGTTATGGAGAATTTTTTTTTATTGAAAACAATCCTGAAAAGTGGTGGATCTGCTGCAACATATGCAAAGATAAATATAGCGTAGTAGATACCTTTATAAATCATGCTATTAACCAACATATACAAAATGGAATAAATGGTATCCATAAAATTGAAATAGAAAGTTTAAATTTAGAAAATACAATTGATACTATGATTGAAGACATAAATACTTCTTGTCCATCATCAATAAATAGCAGTGAGGATGAAAACTATTATGAGGATGTTGAATTTTTGGGTGAAGATATATTTGGAAAAGATGATATGGCGATTAATAGTAGTAATGAAATAAGGTTTATTAAAAATGAAAATATAAATAGTATCAATGTTGAAGATAAAGAAGTTATTTTTCCGAAAACAATAAAGAGTGAGCAAATTTATGAGGAAAATGAAAACTATGAGAAAAAAATTCTAACAAATGGAAAGGAAACTGAATCGGAAGATAAAGAAGCTGATAAAGATGAATCAGAAATTATTAAAACTGAATATAGCGAAATAAACCCCAAGAAAACTGAAACAAATACTAAGAAAGGGAAAAGATTTCCATGTTCTGAATGTGATAAAACTTACGCAACCAAAGCAAAACAAAAGATACATATTGCAACCCATTTTGAATTGCCACCCTTATTCAAATGTGAAGAGTGTGGAGGTGTTTATAGTTCCAAAGATGTTTTGAAAGCACATATGCGAACACATACTGGAGAAAGGTTGGTTTAAATTTGTTTAAAATGTAACAATATAAAGAAAAAATGCTTTTAAATATTTTAGACCTTTAAAATGTCGTCTCTGTCCTAAAGATTACCGCACCCATCATGGTCTTATAAGTCATATGATGACGCACACAGGAACTAGAAAATTTTCTTGCAGATTTTGTGGTACGCAAATTCAATTTCAATACAATTTTAAAGGCTAGGTGTATCATATTATGCCCCATAGAATTTAAAATATAAATTTCATATATTTTAATTGCAGAAAAACGTTTCTATACTAAGATTAATGTAATACATCATGAGAGGATACATACCGGTAAATATTTATAAAATTCGATATAAATTTGCTAATATAAATATTATAGTATTAAAATTTTGGTTTTTTTTCTATAGGTGAAAAACCATATATGTGTGACATATGTGGTGAGAAATTTAGAACAACTGGTCTTTTAACAATACATAAAAAAAGGCACAAACCACTTGATCCAGGTGAAAATAATAATGATATGTCCACAATTGTTAAAATAGAGCGTAAGCCACCAGGAAGACTACCATACATAGAAAGTAAATCTCATCCTGAAAAAAAATTTCACTGTAAATTTTGTGTAGCTCGCTTCTGTAAGTTTTTAAGAATTTTTAAATTTTTATTTCAATACTATGCTTTTTTTTACTTGTAGCATGTAAATATGCTTTAGATGAACATCAGAAAACAATTCATGCAAAATCAAGAGGTTTTATTTGTAAAATATGTAAGGAACATTTTCAAACACGTTCTGCGGTGTGGTATCATATAGAAAAAGGTCACCTATGTAATCCAATAGCAAACTTAAATTATGTAATGGAAACATATCAAGGTATACAACAGTAAAAAATTAAGATTACATACATATTTCAAATTCCATCCTTTTTTTATTCTAGTTAACGAACCCACGTGTCGTAATATATCGAAAACGTCTTCAACCGAAGAAATTCATACGGAAGAAAAAAAATTTATGTGTAACATTTGTTCAACTACTTTTGGTAAGCTCTTAAGCCTAAGATCATTTTAATGTAAACTAAAAGACTCTTGATTTTTTAGCAACTAAAAAAGGTTTAAGAATGCATGAGTACATTCATACAGAAACAAAAGACTACATTTGCAATTTGTGCAAAAAAAGTTTCCGAACATATGCCGATATCAATTATCATTTGAGGCGAAAGCATAAATGTGCTACAACGGCGAGTTGTAATTATACTCTAGCAAGACAAAAAAATACAAAATAAAGGTGCCTAATATAAACAACTTTTTTTTCATTATTAAATTTGTGTTTAAAGAGAAAATGGAAAACATCAAGTTAGTCATTCAAAAACCATAACAGCAAAACTTTTTGAAGCGTTTTGCGTATTGCGCTTTTTAATGGCAGAATACGGAAATTTGAAAAATATCATAGAATTAGCCGAAAAAATACTGAACTGTTATTCAGACTTCAAAGATTTTACATTTAACTAAAGGCAACGTCATCTATATCAATTTTAAAAACAAAGAACAAATAGAATAAAAATTCAAACTGACATAAATGAATAATAACAATGAATAATTATTCGAATAATTTGGTTAGTAACCGTATTACTAAAAATTATTATTTATTGTAAACGAAATGTTTTCATCGGTTGCAGTTTTCATTGATAATAATGCTGTTATTCTGGGAGATTATAATTTCTCATTATAAAGAAACGTTTCCAGTAGTACTCGATTTTAGTGGATCGGCTTTATACTCTTTTTATTTGAATAACCAACTGGATTAATTTAACCAAAGCATACGAATTATTTTATTCCCAATGGAATTAAGGCTTAATTACCGCTGTTTCAAATCCTTTAGTAAACTTATAGAGTGAAATTTATTTGATTAAAATTCATTAAATATTACATATGTATTTTCTTATAATTCAATACATACAATTTACAAATTTTTAGTTTGTATTACAAACTAAATATTTTGAAGGGAAACCTGATTCTTCTTTGTTTGTATAATCAATTTAGGTATGCTCAAAATCATGTTCTTTTTCTGTTAAAGGAATTGATAGCGTCACATATTTTAAGTTATAAAAATAATGCCGATTATCTGCAAAATAAGTCGTAATATGCTCTGCACATTTAGGTAAACGAATGAAATTATCTTCACCTTTTTTTGAAAGAACAGCAGAACCATACTGAAGTATAGAAATGTAATACATACCGCTTTTGTCCTTTCTGCCCGAATCGCTTTTAAAGTAGCTTTGAATTCTGTAACGGTTGGATTATCATTTTTTTAGCCCTTTTAATAATTTATATTTTATAGGTTCTGGATAAATCTACTTACACCTATTTTATTATTCGCATTATTTCATTATTTTTGAAGTTCACCTGAAGCAAAAGCCAACACTTTGCTAAGACTTTAAATAAATATCTAAAATGTTGAAGATTTCAAAGTATGTACATTATGTAACTATACATTTTTGAAAACGTAGCAATAAATTTTAAACTCTTTTTAATATCATTTTAAGATTCTGGAGCTTTGAACATTTTAACGAGTTGCCAATAAATTTTAAAACACTTTATGGTGGGTTATAGTACACCGGGTAAGACACACTACATTATATATATAAATCGGGGGTACATATACATATTCATATACGGTTTGCATATACATATGTATGTACATAAATGTTAAATTTAATTTTTTATTAAATCATCTAATGAAAAATAAATTCTTTCAATAACATTATATATACATACATGTATAAGTTTTTACTTAATTTATTATAAATTTTGATTTTATGTAAAGTTATTTAAATTCTTTATACATACTTTATTGTTTTAGAATTGTTATTTTGAAAAATTTTAATACACAGGAATTTATCAAATTTTTAAAAAAAATGCATATTAAATTTTTAAGATTTCCGTAAAGTGACATAAAATTATTTCAATAAATGCAATTCTTTTATTTGAAATTAAAAAAAAATGTATTAAACTTCGTATTCAAAATTTAACACAAATGCATATAAATATAATGTAACAATATATTATTTATATATTCTAGTTAATTACCAAATTTACAAACTATACTTTTATAATACTCTTATAATTATAAAATGACAATTACATACTTTTATAATATCAAATTAATTTTTAACTTATGGTATTTTGCAGTACCAATATTATTTTTAATTGAAATTTATGTATGTATGTACAAGAATTTAAAAATTTATAAACTTTTGATGATTTCTATCTTTTCGTAATACATATGTTTGTCACTTAAAAGCTCTGCTCTTTTTTAAAAGAAAAAATAAAAAAATAAAGACTTCTAATTGTATAAATTATTTAAATGTGTTCTATAACATCAAATGTAACAATTTTATTAGCTTTATATTATAGACGGCAGGAATGAACAATATTTGAATCATTATCATCACAATCATCTTTAATATTAGATTCTATTTCTTTATCTAACTGTGTTGTTTGTGTCAAACTTGTACTTAATGATGAAGAAGATGATGATATAGCTAATTCATTAGTATAACCGTCTTTTTCACAATGTTGAGGTTTTTTATTCTTTAAATGGCATGAACTAGTTGAATTTTCACAAAATGCTGAAGTTGATGCTAAAAATAAATATAAATTAATAAAATTAATAATTATTTAAGAAAATCAATTGGAAAAATAATTATATATAGGAAAGATAATAAAAATCAATGACATTAATTTTAAAAATAAAAATTGGAATAAGTAAAAGCTTTGCATAAAATCTGCCTTAACATATTAGAAAATTATTTATTTATAAGTATGCTGATATAATTTCATTTTTTCTATAAATTATAATAATTTTGAGTTAAGAAACCGCACCATTTTACCGTTTTAGGTACCGTTTATTGAATGACGTTCTATGTTTTGCGCTAAACAAAATTTATGAACTTAATCACATCATACTTTCAACAAATTTTAATAAAATCAAACAAAATCTATAGACACAAAAAAAGTAATTTAATGGAAATATTATTAAATTTAATGGAATTAATTATACATAATAATTAATTTAAATAAATTCAATCTAATTATAATTAATACAAAACTACTGAATAGGAAATGATGAAGACTTACTTATTATCAATCTACTCTACTTACGTTCATTTGGTGAGCATATAACATGAGTTTTACGTGCTCTTATATTTTCCATATTTATTTTCATTGCTATATGACCAAAAAAGAAATAACCAAGTGCACAACCTAATATAACAACTACGAATACATAACCATTATATACCATTACAGTTAGCATCAATAAATATCCGAGTACGGTTTGAAATAAAAAAACTAATGTTTGAAGTAATGTCCAATAAATTCTTTCAGATAATTGTTTTCTTCTTCTCGTATGTAATTGTGATTGATTTTCTTCATTATTTATTAAATGAGATGATGGACAAGAATTATCATGTGATATTTCTCTTGCAGTACGAGATTTACTTTTAGTTTGAATAATCTAAAATGAAAAATAAAAACAGAAAAAAAAATAAAATTAATTAAAATTACAATGGGTACAAAATAATGTTGAAATAATTTTTGTTACCTTAACTGCTTCGTAAATTAAAGCAAATATCACTAGAACAGCACATAATGATATCAGTGGTCCAACACCATTAATATTTAAACCAGGAAACATAAATAGACCAACATCTGTATCCCAATAAAATGACATTCGATGCATTTTGATTTTGTATTAATTTATTTGTCTCTTTCTTTTTTATTGTTTTAATAACGGGTTTTTATATATAATATAATTTTGAGCCTTGTATTTATTCATTTATCTATTAAAAATATAGAAGATTAAAATAATTATTTAATTTTATTATATTAATTAATTGATCAGTTGAATAAAATTTAGTTTTACGAGTATTATATAATTGAATAGTGTTTCCGTGTATAATTTAATTTTTAAAATAAAATTTGTTTATATGCATTATAAAAATATTATTGCATCTAATGAGCTTGGAGATATACCAAGAACGTTAAAAATATTGGAATCAGATCAACCGTTTTAATAACAACTACTGCATAGGATAAAAACATACTTTTTATCATTTGATTCGTAACACATTGACTTCAATTTAAGGAGACTTTCCTCTTATATAGAGTCACCCGTGGAGAAATTGTTCTTTTGCGCATTAAATATATTTTAATTTCAAAGAATAGTAGACAAAATCAATTTTGTATTTGAAATTTTTGAGTTCGAAAGAATATTTCTACTAACATAATAATAATTTGGAATATATGTACATATATATCATAATATTACAATTATTCTTAATCCGAACAAAACATTGATTATAACATAACGAAAACAATTTTTATCATCTCTTGATTGTATTTCTCAAAGTTGCATAACTAGGTATAATCAGGCACCACGAATTTTTTATTACGTATTACGCTTTACCTTTTGTATATACAACCATATATACATTTACGTGCATAGCATAAATTAACCAATATATTAAGTAATTTTTGCTTTTCTTCTGCATTTACATAAATTTTCGATACCCTTAAAACTCTTCTCGATAAATTTATAAAAAATTCGAATAATAACAAAAAATGAAAAAAAAACACTTGTTTAACAGCTTTCGAGTATTTTACAAAAAAAAAAAAAAAAAATTGTTTTAAAAAGTGAGAGTGCAAAACAAAAAATAGAAAGAAAAACAAAAAATTGTACTGCGAAATCAAAATTTTATTTACGATTTGCTTATGTTTTGGCAAACGCGTTTTGAGTACATTCACAATTAATAAATCTCGCTGTTCTTCTGGTTAAACCACTTCTTGTTTGAACTCTGAATACCAATAAGTGAGTGTAAGCGTGCATTATTGTTATCTTTCTAATATGTTTATATTTGTGTACATATTTATTATGCAAAGGTGTACAAAAATTGGGCGATGCTTTGTTTTTATTTAAATCTAAAACTTAGAAAATATGTTTATGCGTGTAGTATATGTACTCTTATGTATGCAGATGTAACATGTAAAATCGAATCTTGTATATTTTTATGAAGCCTAAGTATAGCTATATTCAAATTATGTGTACATTGACAGGCTGATTCTGCAGAAAATTTGGAGCCACATACTATCAGGTAGATGGTCCAAAATGAGTAAAATTTTTGCTCGGAACATATTGCCAAATTCTAATGATTGCTGAGCTACAGGGATTTTAAGAAAATTTGCCGAAATTTTAACATAAGTATAAGTACTTAAGTTTTTTTTACTTACAATTTTCTTTTCAAAAAAATAGAAGCTTCAAACAAACAGTTTTTTTAACCGGCTAAGAGAGGACCAAAAATAGAATATATTTGGTTTTTCATGTTTTTTCGGAAGTACAAGCATCCGAATTTTAAGAAAATTCTGATTTTTCTAATTTTTTTTGTTTCGACTATTTCTAATTAAAATTTTGTGAAACTTTCAAAATGGTTTTTACTGAATTTTTCCCGCTCTTTAATAATTGAACCAGGCTTAAGTTATTAAATGTTACATAATCTTTTAAGATGGGAGTTGACATTTTTAAAAGATGTTATTTTGCTATTTTACTAAATTTTAAGAATTTTATTGAAAATCAAATACATTTTTGAAAAAAATTCCTATTGTTTCATTTTTTTTTTCGAACTTTTAACCACAAATAAATCTTTTCAGAGGCGTTGTTGCTATTAATAATCATCACTCATCAGAAATAAGTTTTAGTTTCAAATGTACAATTTAATTGTCGGTAAACTTTTGAAAAATTCTCCAATAATGTGTTGTTGAATGGCGATAATAAAACAATTAATAATTCCCTGAAGTGTTGAGGTCAAATTAAAACCAACAATGATTTTTAGAAGAACAATTGCAATTACATATTATAAAACGTATCAAGAATTTATTGAAATGAAAAAGAATTTTCAATTTAATTACCAGATGTTTACCGTATAGGTACAATAAATAATAATTACGAGTAATTAATCAAAGTATTATTAATTTGCAATATTTCAGCTAGTTTTTAGAATTTGTTTTTAAATTGTACAGATGCGCAATGTTATTGTTAAAAATTAACAACTTCCAAATCAATGTTACGTAAAGTAGCACATTTCACTTAAGATGGTAAAAAAATACAAAATAATTTCGTTAAAAATAATTTTTATTAAAAAAAATTTCTCTTCTTATTTACCTTTAAGGGAACACTGCTTTAAGAGAATGACTGCTAGAAAATTAAGAGAGGAGCTGTGATATAACGATCGAATTAAATTCAACTTAATCAATTTATTCATTTAATTATTTTTATAATTTAGATCTATTAATATTTTAGATGTAGAATTCTATAATTTAGATCTATTAATATTTTACGATGTAGACTTGTTTACAAATTTATTTTATATTTGATAAGTTTTAATTAACACTTGTAATTTAATTTTGGTAACGTAATCATCATTCGTTTTTAAAATTTTAGAATTCACTCTTAAAATATACTTATGTTAAATTTCTATAAAGAAATCCGCACTGAATAGGAGGACAAACAAATGGATAGAGTAATAAAGTTTAGTTTTGTAACAAATGTGCTAAAAAAGCTGCCATTCTGCTTGAATAATTTTTGTACTTTCAAAAATGAATCATTTTTATTTATTTTTTATGAATTCAAGTAAAAAAAAAAACCCAGTTTCTTGTAAAATATTAGTGCGCGCATCGGTTTAATCATAAAAATTTTATAATAATTAAAATTTCTTAAAAAATAAATAAAAAATCAATTCAGAAGTACTTAATGCGTCATTTTGTGCGTGTATGAAAAAATTTGATAATTTGGATTTCTTACTTTTTGTAGATATGAATTTGAGCGCTTAAAAAAATTCTAGATCAGTAATAATTTTGCAGTTTCCTGCGTGATAAAAACTAGTAGAAATTGAGATGGTGCGTAAGAAATGCAATTTCTACCTTATTTTATTGAACTGAATTCTTGCTATATCTGCTAAAAAATACAAGTCGTTTTCGTTACTCCTGTAGCTAGATATTATTACTAACGTAGCGTAAAATTTTTATTGTTTTCGCATTTATTTATTTCCTTACCATGTAAATTGGCTCTTTGAGATATATAGCTGGTTCTAATACTTAAATATTATGACTATTACAGCGGAATATTATTGCGAATGCAGCAATTATTTATTTCAGTCATATCAATGTAACTGTGTTCTGATAGCAGCTGGGTGCTATATGGCTATTGAAGTTAGCGATTATTGCAAATGTAACATCAACATTTCTCGGTTTTGTCAATTATTTATTCCCTTGACATAAACACTAACTGACTCTTTTAGCAATGTACTAAAGCTTATGGTTATAAAATTCATTTAACTTTCATAATTAAAAACTTATCACACGCATTTAAATTTACTGATATAAAATTTATTTTAAAATTAAAATTTTGTTTAAATCTACTATATAGGTACTTAAATTTTATTATTAATCAAATTTACATATATTATTTAATTATAAATTTAATAAGCAAAACAAAAAAAAAATTAAATTCTCATTAATTTTTAACAGTTCTCAAGTATTTCACTAAGTAATAAATTTTAAAATTAATAAATTAAAAAAAAAAAAAAATTTTTATTTTATTTCAATTGCGGTTTTTGTGTTTTGTAGAAATTTATGCAGTGTTATTTTAATTATTAATTTTATTGTTAAAAAAAATTATTTAATGTTTCATATTACTTATTCACATACAGAGTGATTCAGTAATCACTGACAGAATCTTAATTATTAATAACAATTATAGCACTTAAAATTGATAAAAATGAAAAATAGTGATAATTTTTCAGTTTCTACGTTTTATTAGGGTCTTTAAAATCTTGACATAGAAATGGTTTTTATGTTACATCTCCTATGTAACAGATTTTTAACGCTTAATGACTTAAATTAAAGCTTAAGCAGCTGGATAAAGGTGTTGTAACAAAAATTTTAAATATTTTCAAAAAGCTTCGTTCTGGGTTAAAGAAAATTAAAAAAATGAAAAAAGGGAAAATTTTTATTTTTTCAAAAGTTCGAATGCTTGGTATTCCAAAATTAAGTAAGTATATAAAATACAAAATCTAGTACTAAGTTGCTTTCAAGCAATTTAATAGAAACCTTTCTAAAACTTTTTGTTTGAAACTTTTATCTTTTTCGGAAGGGAAGTTATAAGCAAAACAACTTGGACAAGTAATAATATTGTGAAAATTCCTAAAAATCCGTGTGCCTCGGAAATTATTGAGATTTGGCACCTAATTCCGAACAAAAATTTTAGTCATTTTTGATTACTGAACTTACCGATTACAGAATCGCCCTGCATATAACAATCGCCTAATTTAAATAATTTTCACAAAATTATTAGAATTATAAAAAAAAATTAAAACTGGTCATATTCATTTAAAATGTAAAATTTATTCAACTGCAAATCTTTATATAACGTGTATTTATTGTCATTTTGTGTTAAATGACTGGTTTATGTATAAATTAAAAATTTTTAAGAGGATTTTGAATGTTCTAAGTAAGTATGTGACAAGTAAAATTAATAAATATTACAATTTATCAACAAAAACACATTATCAGGCCCCCAACGTTTCGCGAAACTAAAAACTACTTGAATTTTCCTAGAAATTAATTTTATAAATTAAACTTAAAATAAAAATTATTAAAATTTAGTATTGATTATCAAATACTCAACTTAATAAAATAAACTAAGAACTATCACAGTTTTTATAATATTTGTAGGAATTTTAAAAACGGTTCACAATAATTAAATGCTAAAATGAAAGAATCAATAAAT